ACTTACCTTCACCCGGATCGGTAACGTGTTACCTTGTATCTGACGTGACTGCTTCGACTGTCTTCCTTCGCATTCATGAATCCATGCGGAGAGTTTTATCGTGCATGACGCAATGCTCTCTGCAGGGCCGCCAAGAAGGTCAAGTTATGCTCCTTCCCGGGTCCCAATTTATTTCCGGTTATCACAATCATATATGGAAAACTGCTGGTGGTGATAACTGTACACGGAGCGCCGAAAAGCCAAGCATCGGAGGCACAGTTCGCTCGCACTAACGAACTCCCCTTAATTCCTCCGTCAGCTGTTTTCGCGAACTGGGCCGATAGCAGGCCAATCGGCGTGACGTCATGATTTCTGTGGCGCGAACGGCCGCCTCGCCTCGGACCTCGGACCTCGCGAAGAAGGCGAGGGCGGGACGAGGCTTCGAGGGGCAGTGGCTCGCGGGGCAGACGAGGGGCGAGGAGCCGCTCGGTGGGAGAGAAACAGACGGAGACAGGTAGACAGACACACTCTCTCGGGAAGGAGGAGAGAGAGATAAGAGAGGAGAGAGAGGAGAGAGATGAGAAGAGAGAGAGAGAGAGAGAGAGAGAGAGAGAGAGAGAGAATGAGATGAGAGAGAGAGAGAAGAGATAGAGAGAGAGAGAAGAGAGGAGAGAGATGGAGAGAGAGAGGAGAGAGAGAGAGAGAGAATCAGAAGAGAGAAGAGAAGAAGAAGGAAAACAGAGAGTGACTGAACAAAGGAGGATGGGATAGAAACAGACAAACAATCAGAGGAATAAAGAAATGCAACACTGAACCCACTAAGTCTATTTCGCGACTGGGAATATAGTATCCAAGGAGAGTCGTATGTTTCTGATGTAAAAAAAAAAAAAACCCACTGTCAGAAGCAACACGAAAACAAACAATTATAACATCAAAGATTTTCGCTCAGTTTAATCCCAGAAGCAAATAAATATATGAGAGATAAAACAAGATAAGCGCTTTTAAACACAATTTTTGGGGGATTGGTAAAAGACGATCTCCTTCAAAAAGTTACAGAGCAAATCCAGACGTTGATTTTCAAACCAATTTAAAACTTTGTGAAAGAGAATAACAATAAGACGTGATACAGACATTTTTAAAATATATATTATCGTGTTTCTCACCTGAATTACATAGCGAACGAAAGGATAACTCAACGTGGACGATAAGAAGCTTTAGCCTTGCTCTTCAACACGTGGAATCCTTGACTTAAGAAAAAACTTTCCTTGTGTCGGATTGCCAAATATAACAAAAATCGGAATATTCCTCATCTATGGGAAATAACCAACATAACCAAAAAAGCAAAAATATAAAACACAACAAGGAAATATGCTTCAACTATAAATAAACAACGTATTCCCGCCATAATAGCATAAAATTACTGTATACCTACACAAAGGGTGAACGAGCAGATAATTCTTTGGCGGTGTGGAGTGGCTGATACCGTGACCACAAGACCACACAATCTGTTAAAGAAATGACTGAGTGGCGTTGTGTTTAAGAGAGAGGGAGGGAGGGAAAGGGAGAGAGTTTTGAGACGTAGAGGAGGGAGCGGAAAGGAGAGAGTTTGGAGAGGAGGCCGTGAGGATGAGAGCAGTTGAATTTGAGAGGAGAGAGTCGAGGGAGGGAGAGAGAGAGAGAGAGAGAGAGAGAGAGAGAGAGAGAGAGAGAGAGAGAGAGGAAGAGAGAGAGAGAGAGAGAGAGATGAGAGAGAGAGAGAGAGAGAGAGGGGGAGGGAGGGGGAGGAAGGAGGGGAATGGAAGGGAGGGAGGGAGAGATAATTTAAGGAGGGGCCTTTGAAGAAATTGAAAACAGATTTAGATCCAGAATCGCAAATACGGATACAAAGAACAAGAACAAAGATCAAGAAAAAAAAAAAAGAAAGAAAAAAACGAAAACAGACACTTTTATTTGAGCATATTAAGGAAAACATCCTTTGAAACAAAATCCACACTTGAAACACATCGGGGCTTCATGTATATGGCGAGCGGTTTGTTAAACAAAACAAACGTAAACAAACAAAAATGAATGAAATGCACGTCCATTAAGTTATATATTATAAATTATCGGGCAATAGACATATTTAACTGTTAACGCGCTGTGAGCCTCAAAAACTGTTTAATGAACACGACTATGTATAAATTTCACTCGAAAGATAGCAACAGAAACTAGACCACAAGGCGCTAAAACTACCAAAATAACGGAACAGAATCTATCAAACAATAATAAACACGAATAGAATTGTCTTCAAACCGTAGAGGAAACTGAGCAGCCTACCTCGAGTATTACCTACACACGAGGAAGGTTTATTTTTCGTGTGAAGAAAATAGGCCTACATCTAACAGTAAGACTTTCTGGTCAGAGGATTCTGAATGGCGAACGTGACTGGGTCCGAGATAGTGGTGCTGGTGGCTTCCTCTCAGTCTTTTATTCCTCTACTAAGCAGGATATATAGGAATTATGCTGCTGAAACCCCCCACAGTCTTGGCTTCGACAGCAGGGGAGTGCATGAAAGATAACGA